TAATTGTTGAGATAATGAGTGGGGATAGGGTAGGAAGGCAGGCCTTGACATATTTGTATGTATTAAAGGGGAATTAAACTATCTGAACACAAATGTCAAGAGTCACTGATTTAGTTTTGTGTGTTTGTTTATTTCAGTTTTAAGATATAAATTACTTTTATTTTGACATTCATCCTAGTGTTCATATTCCTAGATAAAGCTCTGAGTGTTTTATGTTCACTTTGTCAGATGTATCCTCAAGTTCCTCTTTTCACTGTGTGCACACATTTCCCTAGTCTTGTCCCCAGTGTTAATCAATTAATCAATCAATATTTTTATAGAGCCATTTCCTAACAACTATTGTCTCGAGAGGCTTTACAAAAGAGCATATGGATTAAGATGTAGAAAGGATTTCTCCTTCGTATTCCTTGTGTTCCTGTTGTCCACACTGAAACCCTTTTCACACATATGGAAATCTCCAGAAAAACTCCGGAGATTTCTATCAGGAGCTGTATGTGTGAACGCAACAGCCAAGTGTTTTACTCCGATATTACCCGGAGTTTATCCTGCCAGACCCCTAGTGTTTTTTCTGCAGATAATCCGGAGGAGTTGATGTCTGAAAATGGCTGAATATACTCCAGAGATTTTCAATTCGAGCCAATAGGAAGAGAGTGACATTTATATACAGTGACTGGCTAAAGTGTCTGCCCGCGACCACTACGATCTCTGTGCACGTAATAAAACGGCTGCATTATGTTTTCTGTTCATCAGTATGTTGTTCTCTTTTGTGGATGTTGTCATTCCATTGGATTACACATAGCATTGATATAAAGGCAAATATTGTCATTATAAGTCGTGTAGCGGACTCTGTTGCTTCGGCCGCTACTTCCGCATTGTTTATTTACGTCACGTCTTACGTCGGGAAATCCTCCGCGGCCCTCCCTCTTACAGGGAAGTCCCCGCTGTGAGGAACATATGTGAACGGCTAGTTCGGGATAATCTCTGGTGAAGTCCTCCTGTAAATATCTAGACATTATCCGGAGTGAAAATGGCTTAAACTGAAAGCTCTACCTCCCACAGTACATTTAGAGACTGTAGGTACCACGACCAGGCCTGATAACTGAAGGCTCTACCTCCCATAATATATTTACCGTAATGTTCTCGAAGGGTAATATGGCACTATTAGCTTTTAAGATAAGCTGCAGAAAGAAAACGTCATTTTCAGTTTAACACTCTCCTGTTCTAACGCTGTGTGGTTAAGTGGAATCAATCTTCAGGTGAACTCTCGACTGTTTGTTGTGTTGCTGTGTAGGCAGGCAGCAGATAATCTTCACTATTCTAATGTGGTTACTGGTCCACAGACATATTAACAGGACCTGAATGTCTTACAACACTTTGTCTGTTTGTCTTACATCGTGTGTGTTCAGTGTGTAATGTCAATGCTTTGCTGTGTACTGTCAGCTGTGTTTATCATCTGGTGGAGGGGAGTCATGGTGAATCCTTCTTGGACAGCTCAGATTAGAACGTTTCTAGGGAACGAGTTTTGTTGGTTCTCATGTTGGAAAACACATTAAGGAGCAAACAGTGAGTTACTATGTTGAATCTTTGTGAGTCTAATGTCTTGGGTGTCTTTAGAGCGAGGGCTGTAATCTATGGTGACATTTCAAACATGGCTGGAATCTGTGGTTTCCAGTCGTTCAGTGCTCATACAGTGGTCATACCAGTGGTCATACCAGTGGTCTCTTGGGTGTATCCAGCTTTGGATAGTACAGAAACTTCTCAGAGCTCTTCATACTGTCCTTCAATGAATGTCCTGTGTTATCTGTTCACCAGGTAAGAATGTTTCCTGGCACAGATGTTTACTGGTATGATTTTCACCTGGTACAGATGTTTACCTGGTACAGATGTATCTCCTGGACTGATTTTCAGTTGGCACAGATGTTCACCTCATACCAGTGGTCATACCTTGGGTGTACTCCAGCTTTGGATAGTACAGAAAACTTCTCTCAGAGCTCTTCAATACTGTCCTTCCACATGAATGTCCGTGTTATCCTGTTCACCAGGTACAGATGTTTACCTGGCACAGATGTTTACCTGGTACTGATTTTCACCTGGTACAGATGTTTACTGGTACAGATGTACTCCTGGCACTGATTTTCAGTTGGCACAGATGTTCACCTGGTACAGATGTTCAGTTGGAACAGATGTTCACTGATTACCAGGTACAGATGTTTACCTGGTGTTCAGTTGGTACTGATTGTCGTCACTTGTCGTACTTTATATTTGAACAAATTTTACGTGTTGTAATTCTTAAAGTCTAGTAAATTCCTTTTCATTATTTCTTTGGCTTGTTTTTTATTATTGCCTTGTTTTGTCTTATTATCAATCAATCAACCCATATGTTCATATGTAAAGCACCAATTAATAACAAATGTTATCTGTAGACACTTTACCAAAAGCAGGTCTAGACCACTTCATTATGCTATATAACAAAGACCCAACTGCGCACTAAACAACATTGAACTCATCCCACCCTGTCCCGTCTTATTGACCTGGGACCTGTGTCTGAGGAGTTCATCAGGGAGATGACTTCAGGCTTATGTTGATATTCTGACTGTTTATAACCCTGCAGTGGGTTGATGGATGTGTGTGAGAAGCATGCTCAAACCTGTATGCTTTAATATGTTGTTGGGGTTGTATCAAGTCAACTCTGGTTATATTCTTTAATAATTATATTTAATTATTATTAAGATAAATAACAATATCATTAAACTATGTTTAATCAACTCGGGGGAAACCACCCTGAAATCAGGGAAATATAACCAAAATATCACTAAAATCAGTCTGAAATTAGTTACTTAATTACTAATATTATTAATAATGAATAACTATATTTAATAAATAAAAGGTGTGAAATCCGTACACAAAGCCCTCATGTCCAGCTTATATCACAATGCAAATAAAGCAGTAATCACAAACAACTGCTCTCTTAAATTATAACAGAATTTATTTACATCAACATCAATCCAAAATCAATGAACTTAATCAAACAAATAACTATTAAAAACTAATCTAAGCAAACAAACATTATCAAGCAAAACTTGTGAATGAGGTGTAAAGGTGTAGTTGTGTGTGTGTGTGTGTGTGTGTGTGTGTGTGTGTGTGTGTGTGTGTGTGGATGAGAGAGAGAGGAGGGAGAGAGAAAACAAGATGGTGGAGAGAGACAATGCACCATGTGGCTTTGTTACATGGTGACAAAATGGTGGACAACAAAGGAAGCCGTGTGGCTGCCTTTTGAAATAGTTTGAGCTCTCTGAGCTGAGGTCAGTAACTGTTACTTAAACACCAGAAAACCAGTGGCCGGACTTTGATTCAACGGCAGGTACACTGGTCTTTCTGTTTGTGAAAGCCGTTGAATAAGGATAAACTAGCATAGCATTACACACATAGGCGAACACAGTGGTTCATCACAATAAAACAGATGCAGCAGCTTACAACAGATAATAAACAGAATGTGATGTCTCGTCAACGATGATGCATAATTATCAGTGGTTATAAAAGAAACATCACTATTTCTGAAACAATTTCTGCCCAGACCAAAGCTCTTACTTGGGGTAACTCCGGATGATCATTGAAAAGTTGGTTAGATTGTCACTCTGTTGAATATTAAATCAACAGATTCAGGCAGGTTTCCTTCATGGCAGATGAAGGAGCAGGGTAGCGGGATTCAGAGCTTCGACCAGAGCACTGCTCTAGGGTCTTCTGGTTGCAGGAGCCGAGTTCTTTATGTGTCCTTATGGATTCAGAGATCAGTGGGCTTCCTTCAGCGCTCCTGTCCAGTTACGTTCAATGACGTCTTACGAAAAATCAAAGGAAAGAAACTCTTCCTTTTGTTTGAACCTGATAGCATCTGATTGTGCCCAAAACTCCTAAAAATATGCAGTGGAAGTAGTCAGCTGAATCCTCTGATGCTTGAATTCAGCATGTGAAAAGTTACCTAGACTGAGCAACCTCAGCTCTGGAGTTTAACCTATGTAAGTCAAGAGCAGGAAGATTGCCTCCTCGAATGCTGGAGTCCATCTTGTTGGAGAGTGTGTCCTCTGGTGTAGTAGACCACACTTGAAGAGAAAGAAGCAATGCCTGGCAATTGCTTTTAAAGACTGGAACTGCCTGTGAGTTTACCTCAGGCCTCTTCCAATGAGGATAGAGAATTCAGACACCCCCCACCCCCCCCACTTTTCACACCTATTTGTTAGTTGCTGTTGGGGGGTGCTGGGCTAAGACTCCTTTGTTTAGTTCCCTCCAAAACAACTCTAGTCAGGCCTGAGAACTACAATACAGGCCTGAGTCCTTTGTCCAGCACACATGGCTGAGGCTCAACAATGTCTTCTTACTTTCTATGACCTCTGGCTTCTCTCATCTCATCAAATCCAAACACGTCAAGCCCATGACAGTCCTTGTGTTTTATTTGATGCCATGGTAACGGTTTGGATCTGTGCCTCTTGGTTAACAATGTTCTGGAAAGCATGGGTGCCGCTAAAGTTGGCCAAAAGTGCACAAGCCCACATGTCTGGTTTCCACAATGCTTATTGCTTATTAAAAACTACACATCAACCTTACAAAGCCAGGTTGCACAGCTACTATTTTATCATACATGAGCAACATGGCGTCCACACGAAACCTCACACCAGGGTTAAGTTGAGAAACAAAACAAAAACCGCTCAAACTAAGTTTAAGGATAAAAACAAGGTGCTGAATAGGGACGTCGCTCCCCTAGTAACTTAGCAACACGGTGTGTCTTAATGGTAGATTCCACAGTTTCCACTGGTACACTCTGCTCACATAATAAATAAAAATGATGGCTTGTGAGCTCGTTGTCATCTTGCTATTTCAACATGATGCTTTGAGCACTGTACTTTTGATTTCAGCCTGATATTATGAGTTATTTACAGATTTATTTAAATTTGGCACTATTAATAATTAATTTATTTAATCTTTCTTCTTTTCCTGTCTTCCTCCAGGCCCAGCAGCTGTGCTTCTGGCTCTTTCTTTGCTTCCGCCCGGCGCTGGCTGGTGTCCCTGGTCCCTGCCGTCACTCTGTAACCCAGGATCATTTCCTGAGCCTAAACCGCCTGGTGAGAGGTCACCCAAACAGCTAATAGGGAGGAATTTTGTATTCAAAACACAATAAAGGGTTTCTAATTCTCAATAAAAGAAAAGCAGTTTTATTTTTCAGTCTCGGCATTAAAACCTCTGATTGTTTCCATGTTATGGGCTGAGTCTATGTTAGTACGAATTTTCATGAATTCATACATTTTGGTAACTTTCTGAATGAACCATTTAAATCTGTTTACCATCTAACTCTTCTCTCAGGTTCAAGATGAAACCATATCTATGTAAGGCATCTCATGGCATCAGAGTTATATTTTGTTTGGAGTCAACTGTCTGTTGGAAACAAAGGGTTTGCTAAGAATGAAATGTATATGTCTGACATTTACGAGTCAAGCAGATGCCTTGCCTTATAGAGATGTACCAAAATAGCCAAGAATGTGTAGGATGTACCTTCTAGCAGAATATAAGCAAGTCTGTGAACATAGAAACTTTGTCATCATTTTGTTGGTTCACGATTGTTAACCAATTGTGTTCTGTTACAACTGTCTGACCTCGGCCGATTAAACCACGTTATAATCCACAGTCTGTTTCACGATTTCATCATTGAATTTATACAGCAGCAACAACCCCCACCCATCAGTCTATCCACTACTGAATGTGTCAGATGGCTGTGATTAAAACATTTGACTCACCACCTGCAATCTAACCCCTGCTGGTCTCAGACTGAGTTTGTTGAAGTGGTTAATTTCTAAAACATTGGGCTCATTGCTGCAGGCACTACTGGTTCTGAATCTCAGTCCAAAGAAAGGCTTGACTCTTGTTTTCAGGAGCTGTTCAGGCTGAGAGGTGCCAGGAGGTTGTGGTGAAACTCACCAGCCTCCAGTTGACCGCGGCTGTTTAGAGATCTCCCTGGAGACCGTGTGGGTCGGGTCTACGTGACAGCAGAGAACGGCTCTGACTGTTTGTGCTCATGCATCACAGTCCAGAGAACTCCACCGCCTCAGATTGTTTGTCCTGAAATGGACACCTCCTCTGGAGGATCCTGTGCAGAGGTTGAAGGCATGAATCACAGTGGGCCATGTTTAGCCTCCTTTCTGGAAGCTGCTGTTGGACACCAGCACTAGAGGAAGTCCTCTGGCTGAAGTGGTCTTTTGGGTTTAGTTAGCTGAGGGATTTCTGGAAGCTGCAGACAGGTACAAACTGAAGAGGAGGGATTTGGTTTCTGTGATTAGAAAAGTAAAAACCCAGCTGTGGGATGAGATTAGGAAAAGGACTTTCTATTGACCTCAAGGAAACTCTGTCAGACTGTTAGCTTGACTCAGACTGTTTTTAGCTGGTGTGGAGAACTGCTGACCTGGGGCCTATACGACGAAGCAAGTTCAACATACCATGGGTATCTCTGGGTCATTCGTCTTCAAAACCCTGACATCAGAGATTACACTAAACAGTCTGATGAAGCTGGTTATCAGTTTAAATCAAACCAAAGAGAAAATCCTGCTAAGGGGTGCTTTATCCCCATCACAAGTCCGTCTAGCCCTGGTTAAGCCCCCTAATGTATTATGGTAGTTTTCTTTTCTTTATGAATAAACTGTAAAAATAGTTTCCCACACATAGATGATACTTGGGCGAGAGGGAGAGAGAAAGTGCAGGCAAGCACGTTTCCCTGCTCCTCTCTCTGCTGTCATGACTGTGAGCATCGCAGGGCATGCTGAGACACACACACACACACACACACACACACACACACACACAGCCTACATTGCTGCACACATACACACACACACACACACACACACACACACACACACACACACACATACACACACACACGCAAACACACACACTGGCGCACCAGCTTTTTACTTTTAGTGCTACAGCACACAGTTGATCCATGATTTTTTTTCTGGACTTAAAGAAGGCCTCCACTGTGTCCCATGGGTGATACTGATTCAGCAGTAATGCCGGCCTTTTGCTAAACTGTTGTGGTTCAGAGGGAGGAAGAGACGTTCAGCGCATGCTCTGCAGCCACCCCCCCTCCCCCCCGCCGTGCTCTGACCAACAGGTCAAACCATTTAAATGTGCAGCAGAGCAGACATCGTGTTGTCATCTGTCTTCAGATATCACGATCAGATAGAGGGATAGCGTCAATAGATGGATTATCTCTCGCTGCTCGTACAGTGGGTTAAGAGCAGCAGATAATGAAATGGACTAATGGAGATATAATTGTAGCTCCACTTCACTGTGCATGGAGACACAGGCTGAGGGGTCCAGACATCCGGAGGGGGGGGCTGGAGTACAGCTGGTTAACATTAACAAACTGACAGTGGATTAACTTTGTGATGTTTCCTCCACAGATTGATAACCAGTTGGATAACAGCTGTTTCATTATCTACCCGTTCACCGAGTGTCTCAATCTGGTGAGTTTATTTAAAGAAGTAAAACATGAGCAACACACTTTATGAAGGTCTGAAGCCCTGTTTCCACCGAGCGGTCTGGTATGGATCAGTACAGTTTGGTTCGGTAAAGCCTGATCCTGTCTATGTTTCCACAGCCAATCGTAGTTACCATACTCTTTTTTTAGCCGCTTCAGCTACGTAATAGTGTGAGAATCATAGCAGTGCGACACAGTAGACAAAGAGCAACAATGGAGGACATCCAGCAGTGTGTGGTTGTTCTCATTGGCTTGTGGTTCTTTGTTACAAAATGAAGCTTTGTTTCAGACGAGGATGTGTGCCGCGAGGAAAAATACAGCCATCCTTTAATACCGCTGTCACACAGGAAGTTACGATTCTTTGGACCAATCAACGGACTGCAGTGTTTAGCTCCAGCTTTTAGGGTCGGATCGGTAGACTTGGCACCCCAACAGAAGTATAGCAAAAAGTAAGACGGTACGGGACAGTAATTTGGGGACTTTCCCGACTTTTAATAATGGAAACGCCACAAAATGACGAACCGAACTGAACTGCTTGGTGGAAACGGGGCTTCAGTGAGCTCCATGTTTCTTTAAAAACTCAGTCTCACTTTTCTCATCAGCTCTAATGAAGGCTTCTCTCTGATCATTAGCTTAAAACGGAATAAAAACAAACATCCATATCAAAGACATGAACCACAAACACCTGCCAACGATAGCAAATCAGAAGATTCAAATCTTTTATTGAGCTAAAACTACAAAAGTGAGCTGGAGAACATCAAATTAAAGATTTGAATGTTTGTGAGAGAGCTGGCATCATGAAACGTTCAAACCAAAACTTGTTGCTGTGAGCTGTATAAGTTCTGGCTCTAGTGGCTCTAGATTTATGAGCTTTTTGATGAGGACTGGAAGAATCTGTCTCGGATTAATGTCTACACCCTGCTCATTAACTCCAAAGTGATTTCACCTGAGCTCCGGGGCAGAGCCGTGTTTAATGATGCCTTGTTCTTCTTTCAGAGTAAAGTGTGTTGTGTTAAAGCAGCGTTCCCACACATCCTCGATCTCCTCAGCTCACATTTCCATTATGCCCAGAGTTCAGACAACAGACGATACGTCAGCACATTGGAAACCGTCATCTTCCACCTGTACTCACAGGGCTGCGTCCCTGAGATCAACGAGGAGTATGAGGTGAGAGCTTCAGTCTGCAGACACCACATCCTCACCTGTTCTGTACAGGTGAGCTGAGTCAATGAGGTCAGTACACTCTGCAGACATCACGTCCTTACTGGTTCTGTACAGGTGAGCTGAATCAGTGAGGTTAGTACACTCTGTTTAACAATGACTCATAACACAACAGTTCTTCTTCATGTCATCAGCAGCAGGTAGGACAGCAGGGACCTTCTCAGGTGTTTGTCTTTATATTTACTGTAAATGAACAGCCCATGTGTTCACCGGATTATCTGAAGGGTTTCATTCTGCTGAAGACACTACGACAGACATGAGGTTTCTTTAATTTGACGTACACTTTGAAAGTGCAGCCAGTACAATGACATGATGCTGAGGTCAGTTCTTAACTCTTAACTTCCTGCTTGTAGAAACATATATGATCAAATGAGACTTCAGAAGAAAAACTTGCTGCTCTGTTAGTTCAGTGTTAGCATGCTACTCAGAGTTAGCTCAGTGTTAGCATCCTGCTCTGTGTTAGCATGCTACTTGAGGTTGGATCAGTATTAGCATATTGCTCAGTCAGCATGCTGCTAAGTGTTAGCTCAGTGTTAGCATGCTGCTCAGTGTTAGCATGCTGCTCATCGTTATAATGGAGGATGGAGTACTTCCTTAATGCAGCTCAAACACTCAGACACTTAAAAGTCCAACAGTGAGACCACCAGAACTAATTGTTACTGTCTGATGCGCCATGAGTTTACGACTCTGTCAAAAGAAAAGTCTGCAGTTACGATCTGTGTTTTCATGAAGCATCATATTAAACTTTACCTAAAGCTGAAGCAAACTGACACACTGAGCACATTGTGCAAAAAAGGTTCTTTCAACGTGCTCTGGTGCTTCCTCTTTGGTACAAGCTGTCTCTCGATTACTGATGATTTTATGGTTCATTTGGAGCCAATAGGGTTTACAACAACTGGAGGACTGCAGAGTGGAGACGATATATATGGCACATTAAAGCTTGTAGGTTTGGATCGACCGATTGAAGAAGGTGAAAGTTGAAGGTTTTAATCTGTGCACACACATTCAAGGTTACAGATCACATTAAAACAGACTGTTTTTTATTTTATTTTACCTATATGCTTCAGTTCATTCATGAGGACCAATCCATCGACGGGATGCAATTAGACATTTATAAATTATTACGATCTGAATTCAGTGTTGTTAATCAAACGTACTGTCAAACATTCTGTTTGTTTGTTTTTTGTGTTTGTGTCTGGCTGCAGCATCCTGGACATGTTGAAACTGATGTGTGGGGGCCTGGTTGAGAACTGGTGGATGCCTGGTTGACAATTGGTTGTGGCCTGGTAGAGGCCTG